TATGTGTAGTTTAGTTATTCATTTCGTGAAATCTTATTAAGATCGCAGGATTATACGAAGTTGAAAAAAGAGTTTCCATTTTGCGAAATAGATATAACCTTTGTCCATTTCGCAAAACATACAATTATGCAATATGAATACAACATATACATAAAAAAATATAAGTTATTTTATCCTTTGAAGCATAGTGTCAATACTAGATAAGCGTCAAACAAAAAATAAACTAACTGGAAAGGTATTTGATTTTGTTATTTATCAAATTTATAATTTAATGCCTATTTAATGAAACTGCCTCTTTTCAAATATTAGAAATCATATTGGCTATAATGTATGAATACAACACTGCTAATACGTGCAAAACTTACTTTAACATCATAACTTATTATTATTATCTTATTTCGTACCTCTACTATATTATATTATATTATTTTACTTTTTACTTTTAAATATTTAGTATTTTCAAAAATGTTCAATTCACAAATAAAACTGGACTTCGATACAATTTATTTTAGTGAAACCCAGTAATATCTGAAAAAATATTTTCAATAAAAATTAAAAATAAATATAAACGTGAGTTTCTAAAAAAATATATTCAAAAATAAATATAAATTACTGGAGTAAAAATATTTTCAAAAACGTTAATATTTTACTGAATAATCAATGCGCATACAGTAAAAGAATAACCATCCACAAAGTAAAATATTTGTTAATTAATACCTCCAAATTTATTATCTTCACATTATATTTTACATTATGAATGTTTGTTTAATGCTTACTTATCCATTAACGTATTCTCCATATAGAAATGTATTAGTTTTAAAACATACACTTAGTGTTTAACCATTTGATGTATTTTTTTAAATTAAATAAATAATTAATATTCGAAAATCTTTATTTACTATTGGATTTTTTGTAATGGACGTTGCATAAAATAAACAATAAATCAATAATTTTAATTTACATGCATTTTGAAGATTCTTCAGCATAAACTGAACTTGCAAGTGTGAACACACACACACACAATAATGGCAATATTTTTTACATGAAATAATATAGCTTACTTACTATTTTCAATAACATATAATAAATGGACTTGCAGAATTTTTATTACCATATAAGCGATATTTAAAAATTGAGAAACATAAATTATTTTACAAGTTTAAATTTGTTTTAACTTGTATATTGATTACAAATTTTAAAACAATTTATCAATCCTTTAAAATTTATTTTGTTTTAAATACTTTACACTTCTTTAAACATTAATACTTAGTTTAATAAGGAGGTAACAATAATAACCCATTAATTAGTAAAATTCAAAACAATAAAGTATACAACGTTGGTTCTTTATATTAATTTAAATCAATAAAACCACTTACTTTGTAACTAATTTTTAACGAATGCTACCTTCTATTTTTTGATTCTGGTAATTAAACAAAAAAAATTGTTTGAATATTAAATAAGTAATGTCGTAAAATAATTTTGTGACTTGAAAATATCTCAGAAATTATTTTTGTTTTAACGGATGTCTGAAAGTATCGAATTCGGTAATGCTGCACGGTCATTTAATTATTGAAAACAACGTACCTAACATCAATGTAATATAAACAGCGATAATATTATAATTGGCTATCTGTTAAGCTTATAAAAGGATTAAGAATAATTATCATTATGAAATAGTTTTTAGATTCTGAGTGAAACAAAGGATGCATTGTATAATAATGATGTTAATTTATTTTTTTCCAGTCTTCATATTTTAGAGCAAATCAACTATTCCAACTTTCAACATTGAGGATTATTAACCCAACTTTTCTTGATACTTGGGTAATTAAAAATAGAAAATTCCTTGTACTTTTCTTAATAATTTTGAAAGATCACGAAAATTTGTTAGGATTTTTTCATAAGCGGCTTAAGTTCTAATTTTTACAAACCTAACTTAAGGTTTACTCTAAGTAATCTAATTATAATTCTCAAATTGACTTATGATATTTTTCATACTGTATAAGTATGATAGACATTAAACAGTATATGGTTACGTATATAGTTAGTTTTTTAACATATTAAAGTTAGTACAAATTCAAAAATTGGAAAATTAATGTAATAATTGTTAGATATTAACAATTAAAATGTTTACATGTAATCTGATAATTTGTATTATTTTTTACAACCACAGAGTGTACATTGTGTAGGTATGAAAAGAATTTTTTTTTTAAACTATTTATTTCGTTTGATAAAATGCACAACAGTGATTTTTGGTACTATTTGTTATGTATAAAATAAATAGTAAAATATCATTACTAAAAATTTAATTCAAAGAATCTATTCTTGGTAAAATTTTATCTTCAGTACTCAGTAGAATTTAATACAATAGTAATATTCTATATTTTAAATTCTATTCATAACAATAAGAAATATATAAATTTCAAAAGAGTAATTTTTTTAATTAATTTGTCAATTACAAATTATTCTAGTTTAACTATTGATTTAATATTGTATTAACTTTTTCATTAGTGGTTATCAAGAATAACCAAAATTGTAAGTTATTTTATAGTTTTGAGCGAAAAGAATTTATTACTTTTAGAATAATGAATCTTTTTATTTTTTATTTTTTTTTTCGTGTTTTTCATCACCCTTTCAAAACAATAAAAACGCTTCAATTTTAAACTTCAATAGTGATTTCTAGAAGCAATAGCAAATTAGATATAATTGCAGTTACTTTAAAGTTTTTAATCCTAGTACTTTTCAAAAAAAAATTATCGAAAAATTTTAATATTCTTGATTGGTAAATACCAATGTTTGACTAAACCAATTTTGTAAAATCAAATTACAAAATCAATAAATAATCATACATTTTTTTAATGTTTAATTTATTTATATTTTTTTTTTTTGGTTAATATTTTTGATAAAGAAATGCTATTTTTAAGTCAGGATACTTACAAAATGTAATGCAGTCCTAAGTTTTTTATGCAATTAAAAACTATAAAAATACAAAGTAACAAAAAAATGTTTTATTTTGACAATACATCTTCAAAATCAAGATAATTTTGAAGTTATTTTAAGATTTGTATTTAAAATCTCAATTGTAATAGCTGGTACGGCTTGAAAATATACAAGATTCTTCATCAGTTTTCTTCCAGTGTTCGTAAAACATTGAAAATACATCAAGGAAATTTTTTTTTAAATATCGATATTATTTTTAAGTTCGAAATCATCAAAATATTTCTAAAGACTAACGATTTTTCCACGAACAGTTTTAGTTGTAATTTAAATTTAAATAATAATCGTCACAAGCATTTAAAACTTATTTTTATTGAGCATATTATTTTTATCTATATCCGATAACATTTTAAACATATTTCTACTTATTTAAGCTATTATTTATACCACGAACTTATTGATACATAGCAATATTTGAATAATCGTACTAAAAAAACTGTTTTCAGACAGAATTTTTGACTTCTAATAAGATAAAAAGACATTAGTCATTTTATAGTAATAGTAATATAAAATAAACAAAATTTAATAAATCTAGTAAAATCTTTGATAAAAATATCCCAAAACTGTTTTAAAAAGATTTTCTTCTTCTAAAGAGAGTTTTTAAATGCTTAATGTATTTTGCGGATTAAATTCGATCACAGTCATCAAGTTTCTGAGGATAATAAGCTTCAAAATTACATACAACTATTTTTTGAAATAAATTATGTTATCCCGCCTATCCACAAATTGTGTACTGAAAATGTTCAATACATACGTAAATACGTAACTTAAAATCCTACGATACTGATAAAAATGTTCAAAACACAGCACTTAACCAATTAAAACAAAGGATGTACAACGTCGATTTTTATTGTCCATTAAAATATTGTGAGACCCGCTCTGTATAGGATATAACTATTCATTAAAGTTATTTATGTTATCTATGTATATAAAGATTTTGTTATTTTTTATAATATAAGAACAAGTAAATTTACGATTACTAACAATCAAAAAGGTATCTACGTAACTTTTTTTTTGTCCATACAATATTATTATTTGTGTTTGTCTATTATTTTTTTTTTTTATACAATAACAGTAAGTGTTTGTGTATGTAAATTTAAAAAAAAATGCAATGCTTACTAAAACTAAATTAAATATACCTTAAATAAAAAATATATGCAAATTTTAAAGAATTTAATATATCAGTATCACAAACACAATATCTAATCATGTAAATTAATTCAAACGTAAATATAAGTTTTTAATCTAGAAAACTTTGATTTTATCGTGATATACTATCTCATATTATATATAAATTTAAAATGAACGTGAAATAATGGAATCCATAAATTAATTTAGTTTGACCAACTTATTTTATTACTTCAGGTATATATAAATATCTCTATATTCTTCAAATATTATGGAATGACATCAATTTTGCGAAATTTCATTTTTATACTGAACAGTATTAAAAACTAAAACAATAAATTATTTAATAATGTTTGATAAATAAACACAATAACTAGATAATTATAATATTTTTATAAAAATATTTAAATATTAAACAAAGTTCACTTGAAAAATAAATTTTAACCTTACTTTGATTTAATTTGCTGAATATTATTCAACCCCCGTACAATCAAAACAATTGATCGGATACAATATTAGATACATGCAATTAGTAGTAACAAATATGTACATTAGCAGTCCTCGGTCCAAGGCTCATCGACAATATCAATGTATACCCCACTACGCGTTAATAGATGAATGTTCGATTTTACCCTTTCGACTCTTTAACACACACACACACACACACACACACACACACACACATACATCCAAATACCACCACTTTCAAACCAATATATTATGTACATGCAAACCGTATACATGATATAGACTGCTAAAGCAAATGTTGTGCTTTTTTTCAACTCAGTTACCTAGTGCCCATCGTCACAACGCGCGTACATTTTTTCCCTATGCACTTTATACAAACTTATTAGATTATTAATGTTTTATCTTTTTAATTATATTAAAGAGCTTCTTTGAAACTTAACTGATGCATATTTTTGCAATCTGAACTATGGATTAATGGCCAAAAAAATGAAAGGAAATTCAAAATACAGCGATGAGTAAGTTTAAATATCTAGTTGTAATATTACTAAAATAAAACGCCATAATATGATTCGTGCAGATACAAGCAATATCGAATAAAACACTCGTAAAAAATGAATATCTCATCAGTGTAATTCATTATTAAAAAAATTTTTTATTACCTTTGTAACTATGAAATAACATTTTTATTGCTAAGAATTATAAGAAAATTATTAATATAATATATACATAGCATATGAAAAAATAAATAAAATTCTATTCATTTTTCTTGTATAATTGTAATGGGAAAAATTAATTGGAAATTCAGTAACTCTAGTTAAAAATAGTTAATTAGTGTAATAGTTTTTATTCTTTTTTAATATAATAAACTATGACATATTATTATAATAATAATAAATAATAAAACTGCAGAAAAATATTTATACAGTCTCTGATTTTCCAAATAATGAATACACATAGTGCATTTATAATTTTATACTATTAGAATAAACAATAGTAACAAGATTCAAAGTTACAAATTTTCCATAGTGTTATTTCGAAAGGGTGATTATAATAATTAATGGAATCTACGAACTCTAATGAAACTCAGCATCCAGAATGTTTTTCTGCAGTAAAATTTTCCCCTAGTTATCATGCAACCAAGTATAATACACATATCAGGTTAATTCTAAAATATTTTCGACAAACTTATTCACAAAACAGAATTTCAGTTAATAATCTATGATATGGTATAACTCATGTAACAAACTAATGTACATCATTATTTAGTTCACACGAAATCATTATGTATTATAAACATATTTTAAAAAAAAATTTAACCATTTAAATATTTTGTGGTATGTAATCAACCTTACTTTTTATAAAAATTATAAATACTAACACATATGCTATAAGATACATTATTAATTATAAATACCAACTTTCTAGTAAGATACTGTTAAAAATAATAAAAATACATTATGTAAAAAAAAAATGAACCGCGTTGTACATTATGTTATTAGTACACTAAAGTCATCGACAAATAGATATTTTTAAGTTATTTTTAAAATGTATTTCTCATTATATTTTTATAAGTGATATTTACCATTTTTATGTTCCTCATATTATTTTCTATTAGTTAAAAAAATGCCTATTTGAGAAAATCTGACAAAAAAAATTTATAAAATTACACAACCAGTACGGTGACAAATTTCGTATAAAAGAAAGTGAAATGCATATACGATGGCTACATAAGATAGCTATTTTGTTCAAAAATTAAAAGAAAAACTTTATAAATTATGTAAATATAATTTTTTAGGATTCATTTGATTTACTGTACAGTATAATAATATAAATATAATATTTTACTAATATTAACACTAGTAATAGAAAAAAAAATTATTTTCAATACGTAATAAAGTAATAGAAGAATAGATAGAAATACTTTTCAATAATCCTACTTTTTTAATGGTAGTCTTTAAAATTATAAAATTATTTAATAATCTCATTAAAAATTATAAAGATTAAAATGATAATATTCATAATATATTCCTGACGTTAAACTAATAACAGACTATATTATTTTTATGTATAATCTTTTAAGCTATAACGTTGATGACTTTTAACATTAAAACGGTTTAAAAAACTAATACAAAAACACCTAAAATTTATCTAATTTCAAATTATTATATTATTTTATAATAATATCTAAGATCCCCTAGCTAAGACGTTCTTGTACACCAACCACTCATAACCTATTACAATACCATATATTCAAAAATAATTATATTATTAAAAGTATAAATAAGCCTATTTCTCTTAAATGGCTGTGCATCATAACTATGTCGAAACGTTTTTATAGCGTATGTATATAATATTATTTTCAAATTGTATTAACAAAAATCGAAAAAAATATTTTTTTTTTTTTTTTAAACCTGTAGAGTCGGTCCGATTTAAAGTAGATTTAAAGTGTAATTCGTCGATGAGTAGGTCACTGTAGTGTTACATTTGAATTAAATAATAAATCATTGTACAACAGTTATTATTTTTAAGAATATTATAATATAATTTACTTATATTATTAACACAATTTTTCTAATTGCACCTAATATATAAAAATTATATTATTGTTATTATTTTTATTTCTCTGAAAGTCAATTCTTATGTACCTTTAGATGGTATATGAATAAGATCATATTAAAAATCCAACTTCAAACACATATAAATAAATTGAAACCATTTATTTTTTATAGAAAACTCATCATACACTTATTAATAGTTCAAGATTTTAACACTTAGTGATCAAAAATTAAAAATTAACTTAAAAATCGATAATTTCAAATTTCTATAATATCCCAAAAATATTTTTTAAATTGTATGATATTTAATATAAATACATTTTGAAAAATTTTTTAAATATCTATACTCTACAGTTATTAATTTTTAATTTTTAACAAAATAACGATTGGAATAAATGGTTTGTCGAAAATTAGTATTGCAACAAATATTTCAGTTTGATTTAAGTGTTTTCCTATCATTTAAATAATGTTGTAGCTACGAGTATATATTGATGACATAGGTAAACGTCAAAATTCAAAAATGCTATGACGCAAAAGTCATCTATCTAATATACTTTTAATAAACTTGTAAAAAAAAATAAAGACTAATTCTTTGAATGATACACATAATTACAACTGTTATGTAATAAGTTATGAATTAAAAAAAATTTTAAATTAATATTATAATTTTGTATATGTGTATATTTAGGTTATATTTCGTACAGTAATATATTTACCTGAAGAACAATACTTATATATAAGAGTTAGATATTGAAATAACATAGCTAGCGATGATAAAGAAAGAAAAAACAAAATAAAGGCTGACTACGACTTTTGGCATGATCAATTACTTCACATCATAAAAAAAAATTCAAAATAATATGAAACTTTGTAAATACTTATATTATGCACTTGATATTCAATATTTATTAAATTTTAAATTACATTTGTCAAAAAAGTTATGTAGTTTTGGATTGAGAAACATGACAGTTCTATTTGTGAAAGTAAAAAAAATATTCTTTTAAGTACAATTTTATCTGTAAATATTATTTCAGTTTTATTTACTAAATAATCATACATATTAAAAATATTTCTTATATAATATTTATTCAATTTTTCGTTATAGTAAAAGCATAGATATTACAATAACTAATTGCTTGGCTTATTTAATATACTAAGTGATACAAACAAATGTATGAAAAAGTAGAATAACCAAGTAAATCTTATCCCAATAATAAATTTAAAACTATTGTAGATAATTTAAGCCAATAATCATCCAATAAAATACATTTTATGCAGCAGCTTTTTTCGTGATATTTTATAAACATATTCATAAAAATAAATTAAAAGTAAATTTAATTTTAGCCATACAATTCGTAATACAATTGTATCTTTTCAGTGGGTCAATTCAAAAGTTTGATAGCCTCATGCGCTTTTCAATAAATATTTGACTTTTATCTTAAAAATTTGAAAACAAAAGAGCAGAAACTCATAAGCTTAGAAATCATTATTGTATTTCTAAGCTTTTTTAAACTCGAAATACATACAAAAGACTTTTAGAATAGAATATCGTTAGAGTGAATCAAAATACCAGAAAATTTCAGGAAGAATTCGAGAAAATATCAAAAAAACCGTTTCTTCCCAAGAGTTTCAGAAAATATGGAAAAACTGAAGAATATTAAAATAATACATTTCCAAAAAAAACCAAAGTTTTCAGAAAATTAAAAAAAAAACAGAATTTCAGGAAAATTAAAAGATTATATTTACGCTTAAGATAATCAAAAGATAAATAATAACCCAGTTAAAAAAAATAAATAAAAACTTACCATTGCTATTTCCCATTTGTCAATACATTGCGCGTATTATATTATACGTATCATTGTATTAAAAAAACAATGAATTATTAATAACTAGATGCATAATAAATAATAAATAATAAATACTTAATAATTTATATTATTCATAATAATTATTTATAAATAAAATATAGAATCTGCAAGATCTATCCACTATATAAACTTTAATTGATGGTATACGTATACTTAGTAATATAGTATATTAATATCTTATGTATTGTGATTATCATTGTTTATTGGATTGTTTCTTTTTCATTTAACATAACATTGTTAATCCTTTAAGGAAAAAATTTTTTAAATCACTTTTTCATGGAATTTTACAATTTTTTAAACGAAACCAAATTTTTCCAATTTCTTCGAAAAAACTCTGAAAATCTCTAATTATAAGTTTAGAAATAATTACTTTTTTTACTTATAATAGCTTAATTTTTCTAGCAAATTTTATTTAAATATAGTGAAAATTTGGATGAATGTACTTTATAAGTTAATATTAACGCCTTAAAATATTAGTCTTCAATATCCAATGTTCATTTGTAAAAATCAATATGTACAACAAACAATTTATCACATTTTTGATGGCATAGAATAAGATACTATTCATAAAAGTGTGTTAAGGTAAATCAATAATATTCATTTTATTTTGAGAATTTCTAAATTTATTATGTTAAGTATTTTAACTATCAATTACATTGACATCATGTAGTAGTATGAATGATTTAAAAGAATATGAAATGAAAAAATATGCTTGCCTTGATGCTTGAAAAAGTATCATATCTATTTAAATTGACACTTTAGAAATGAATCACTAAATACTCCATTTTCTATTTTAGTTCTCTTTCATCTTTAAACGAATCAACTGGATCATTAAACAGATCGTACAATGATATTTCTGATCAAGAAAACGGTATATACGTCATAGTAAGGTGAGTTAAATAAATTGTTTTTTTTTTTTATATATTAATTAATGAAAAACTTGTTCTTATAAATAATTGTAATAATATTCAATAATTTCTTAACTTAAGATCTCGGCCATTAAGCATCAAAGAAAATACAGCAAGTGAACCATCAATTGTATCGTTTCCGGGAAATGGACGTATTTTGGTAGGTTGTATAATGTATATATTTTATACAGACATACTTAAAAATGTTGAATAAATGAGAACTGACATACATTTACAATAGAAAAAATAAAGTTTCATTGTATTCAAACAATGTCATGCTATTAATATTGATATTATATATACCTACTATGCTCTTGATAATAATTATATTGTATATTATTAAACTATACAAAAATCACACGGCGTTTGAGTATGCAATTTGACGGCATCTATGTGTAGATCTCATCACATAATCTATCACAAAATTATAAATTCAACGAATTTGTAAAATATAAATTGAATAAAAAATACCATGACGTAATTTACAGGGTATTATAATAATGTTTTATTTTTAATTTCATAAATAAATATACATAAAAAATATGAACTTTAAGTCAAAAAAATAATGTCTCATTAATATTATATCAATCGGTTTTCACTGCTTTCAGACATAAATTTATCAAGATAAAATTATATATATATATATATATAATAAACAAATACTTGATATTTATTTAAAAAATAAACTTCCAACTAATCTACTATTTTTTTTCTTTTTTTTTCTTTTATATTAATAATTTAGCATTGTGCCTTAAGTAATAAGAAATTCAATCGATAATAATAATACTTATAAAAATTATATACAGTTTTTTTTTTTCAATTTTAATATTTTATAAAAAATATAATTTCTATATATACATAAATAAGTACGATAAGTAATTTTATTTTGTATTAAGTGACAAAAATAAGAAGTTTAGGAGGAACACTTAGTACTATCATCCGATTAAGAAATCTCTAGACCAGTTTCATTTTAAATATCTCTAGGGGGTTTTCGGGGATTGTGCGAGAAAAAAATCAGTTTATTAATGAATCTATATAATAAGATAATTTTAAATGAAAACGATGTAGTATGATTTTGTTAAATGAGAAAGCATTAGGCTTTTTAAACAAAAAATTAAACAAATTTAAAAAAATAGTAATAATTAGTAAAAAAGAAAAAAAAATGATTTTCTATTTTAAAACTTTTTATAATTTTATGTTGTCAATTTTATATTTAATGAGTTAACTATGATTAATTATTAAACCATTAATGATTTTTAAGTTAACGACACTAAAAATATGTCCTATGTTTTTAATTATTTGATAACTAATAACTATCAAAACTTTTTTATCTGCTTTACTAAATACATAACAAATGCATTATAAAATAATTGATTCTTGACAACATTTTTATTTTATTTAAATCTAGAATCATTTTTTAAATTTGTCTAAGTTAATAAAAAAATTAGAGTACACCAATACTATTACATCAACTTATTATATTTTAAATTGCATTTATCATTTATGTTATGCAATAAAATATTAAATTTTCAAATAACTTATCAGTACTTTTTCTTTAACAGACCTTAATAATTTTTAAAATGTAATAAAATAAAATAAAATATTCAAATAAATAAATATTTGTTATTTAAGTGTATTATCATATAATATAAATTAATAATTATTAATAATATTCTTAACGTCGACTGAACAGTATTTAACTATATACTTTAACCATATCATTCTTTATTTAAATATTAAATTTTAAAATTATAAATATTGTTTCAATAATGTAATTTCCAAAATATAACATATTTTAATAAGCTAAGTAGATGTCTACATTCTATGTTAAAAAAATTTTCGATAGGTACCTACTAATAAGAAGAACACAAATAATTTTTAAACGAGGTTTTTATGAAATGAAAAAATGTTGCATCATTTTCATTGTTGATCCAAATATATCAGTCTAATAAAATTGTACGGCATATGAATATATGGATTTATATAATATAATGTGGTATAAGAATTTTGGAATATACCTGTACATTAGGTATTCATATTATAAAATTTATTATTATGGTTCAAACTTAATATTTTAAATATACGTCATAATATTACTCACGTCAGTGAATGTTACCCTTAGGTGGAAGGTTTTCAAACAATTGGTGGATCTAATGGACCTAAATCCAAACTGTTCTCTTTTAATGTCGTATTCGAACCAGCATCTACACAAGAGGACATATTTCAATATTCTGGCATCAAGAAGCTTATCGAGATGGCGGCCGAAGGTTTCAACACCACTTGCTTTTGTTACGGACAAACCGGTAGTGGTAAAACCCACACACTTACAGGACCCCCAGGAATGGTGAGTTTTGATAAAATTATGAAAATAAATTCTTTCAAAAACACAAATTTACATACAACTTTGAAAAAAAATAATGTTGTAAATATTTTATTTCTTTGATTTGATGTATAATTATATTATTTCATCTTTTAGATTTGAAAAGATAAATAATGTCAAATTAATTAATTAAAAGTCTTTTTACGATATTTTTATAAAAAATAATAAAAATTCAAATTCACAAATAATAATATCTTTTTTAATCTCAATAACATTTTGTAATGGATTAATAGCATTGGATCTAAAAATACAGTAATTTTCGCTGCTAAAGTTAGTTTTTGGTTAGGTGGTTTATATTAAATTGCTAAAAATCAATAAAAATCAATTAAAAAAGAGTGGATCGACTATGTAGAGATGGAAAAGACAGCTTGTTTGTTTGCTTTACCCAAGTGCTATATGAAAAATGCTGATCAGGTGATGGATGTATTTGGTACCCTACCTACGTTATTTATAGCAAAGCATTTCACGCCGACCTCCTCTGAAAAAGAAACTTGGGTCATCTCTTTATGAGTTTAAATATATGCGCATATTATGCATGATAATATATGTATACTGTATATGATAATATAATTTTAATACATCCTTCGGTACTCGGCTCGGACAGTGTTCGGGCGTGTTGGTATTCATTTGACATGGCAAGGTCGTCGTCGTTTTTCATCGTCTATTCAATTTCATCTATACCATCACGATAAATTACTACCTGCAACACCTTATCGTAACCATGTCTGCTATTTAATACCCAAACATACACTTTGATTTCAATATTTTGTATATCTCTGATAATACATTTAGTTAGGTTACCTAATCTAACCTTATAACACTACATAACTCATAGTCCACAGACAATCCATACTTATTACACATATGCTTGTTCGCATATAGCGAAAGGAGTGGCGATAAGTGTGTGTGCATGTTTTAAAAATATTTGATATCACACACAAAATAAAAAATACAAAAATACATAGAAAATTAAAATAAATACGAATACAATATTAAAATTTTCCATATTTTTTTGCAAAATTTAAATCATTCAACAATCATTTTAGTTTTCGAAGTTTTTATGAGCTAAATTATATATTTAAACATTTGCTCTCATATAAACTATAACACATTGCACACATAAATAATTACAATAATTATATATTACACCAAAGTACAGTTTAGAATTTCTTTATTGATTGATTTTTTGATTTATCATTGCTTTCAAATGCAATACATCCATCTAACAAGTTAACTGCTCTATGATAGAATACCCTTGAAATTTAATTTAGAACCAAATGAATTCCCCAGTTTTAATTGAATTTATAGTTATATTGTTCAAGTATTTATTTAAAATTATAAATAACTATATAAATAAAACAATGAACACATACAATTTAGAATGTTTTAATTATATAAAGTAATTCACAACTCCGCTCACTCCCCCCCTTTTCTTTAATAAAACAGAAATTCAAAATCTAGTTTTTGAAATTTTTGAATATACTTAAAAACTATATAATTAAATACTCAATATTTTTTTGTACCGTTTAAATTTGAGAGTTGATAGATTAATAATTACTTTTTTAGACTTTAATCATAATGTATGATTATTTAAAAATAACTATCTACTGAACATTTTAAAATAAAAAAGAATGGATCTCAATTAAAAAACAGAAGTGTTGTTATAACTACGGGATATCTTTATGTGGTACAAAACTTCTCAAATATTCAAAAATGAGCTATAGAAGTAGATCTAAAAATTCTAAAAATCAAAGTTTGTATATACTTAATGAATCATTCTGTATATTTATATATGTATAATATATATTATTTTAACTGACAATTAATTATATTATTATTATAATTAAACAGAATATGGTTCTTAATTTGTAAAATACGTACTTATATTTTAGTTCCTTAAATACATATGTGATGCTTATTTCCTAGACGCTATTATAAATGTTTTCTTAGATAAAATGTAATTCATCTGCTGAATATCAGGTACTGAATAGTATGTTTTGTTTTGAATACGACATGCAACGTATCTATCTGCCATACAAAAATGTAAATGCTTGAAATTTGTCCGTTGTGTGAATATTCTGTAAACCCAAACAACTTACAGTGATAAATTACAGACTTGTGTCCAAGTGATATATATTATTTTAATATGACAAAACATAAACCACCGTAAATCATACGCAATCATATACACATTCAAAATTATACTCATCGAGAATTGTATTAGTTTAATTTGGCTCCATTCTCATCAGCAATTATTTAAGTTTTAAAATGATTTTAATTCCAAATAAAATATTACTCTCATACTTATTTTTAATCGTATTCAATGTAATGTTTTTTTTCTCCTCGCCTACTTCTCAGTTATTATAATTGTACTATACATTTAAAAATACAAATTTATACGTACTCTTAATGTCTATTAATTTTAAAGATTATCTAAATTCCTAAAGCTATGGCAATTTTTTATTTATTTCAACGTTTAACTATGTAGCTATATTATCAATTAATGATAAGTAGATTTTTATTTTACAGTTTTAATTGTTGATGCTTGATATGTTAATTAAACAAATTTGAGTTCAAAAATACAAAATATTAATATAATCACGCTATTATGATTTAAACTGGTATATCTAGTCTTTATTTGAATATTTCAAATTTAATAATCTTTTTTTATCTTAATTATTATTTTATTAAATTATCATAAAAGTAACTTATCCAATTAAAATATAATTTATATTCTTTCAATCTACTTTTACTGATATACTATAACTTACCACAAAAAACAAATTTCAAGTATTGGACTTAAATACATACAAATAATTAATATACTCATTACTTATTTAGTTTAAATAGTATTCCTGTTTAAATAATTACATTTGCTATGTAAAATTAATTTGATTATTTTTAGTTTTTCAACAAGCGTATTGAACCATTTTCCGTGGACCATGGTCTTATATTTCGATCATTTATGTATCTGTTTCGATTGGTGCAACAACGACAAGATCTTCATTTCGTACTTAAAGCCTCATTTTTAGAAATTTACAACGAAAAAGTAATTTACTCCATTATATAATATAATATTATGCACATACACTTTATTGAATAATTATTTTTACACATTTCTATATGCAAGTCAATATAGTTCATTGAACTCGGACATTTTTGCTATTATTTGTGATGAGTTTGAATGAAGCGTTTCACTCAACACATGCCTTAAATATTAATATATTATACTCGCCTTCGACATGTCCGATCGTTGAACTTTAAAAAAAAAACATTTTATATAATTTTTTACGCAACAAAAATAAGTTTAATGACATAGACAAATATTATTACCATTTATTGAACCTGTAAGTGATGTAGTTCATTTAATTGAATGTTGAAAAAAAAATTATGTAGGTGATAGATTTATTAAACCCAGGAACTGTCAGAAAACCATTAGACGTAAGATGGTCCAGGAAAGCTCGTAACTTTTATGTCGATAACTTGTTTATGGTGGACTGTGAAGAATTAGATGACCTACAAGCTGTACTAGAAGAAGGTAATACATCATAAATTTATAAAAAATAACTCTATACATTTCCAAATGCAATAATACCAATAGATTAAATACTTAATTATATAAACGTTATTACAGAACTAAATTTAACATAGCAATGCATTGTAAGTTAAATAAATTTGATGTATTCAATCATGTTTTCCACGAAAATCATATATGCATTTAATTTTAATTTCACTTTATAATGCAATTGAGTAATTATTGAATTTTTAAAATGGTGAAAAATATTTAATACAGGCATGAAAAATAGAACGGTAGGGAGCCATAATATGAATGAAAACTCCAGTAGAAGTCATACAATGTTAACGGTGTATATTACGTCCGAACAACAAGTGAGTACCAACTTATGGGTAGGTATATAATTTATTTTAAATTATTTTAACACATTTATAGAATATAATTGCCGATACATTATCTTATCAGATTTCATTAATTTTAAGTAGTTCCTTAGTTTATTTCCTACATTTTAGTTATTATTTAAAAGTACAAATATAACATTAATTTTCAACAAATTTAATGCACGAAAATAAAATAAACACTTTAACAATCAATAAATATATTAAAATATTCATTATACCCAAATGTAATTTAGCCACATAAATTCATATTATTAAAATATTATTCAATTCATCAATAACCCAATAATCCTCTGGATTTGTAGGGTTCATTGTGTTAGTCAATACAATAATTAATAAGCCATTAAATAATTTTAGTTACGCTACCAATGACTAAAAATCTTGAGCCAAATTCAGTACCATTTAACGCTTTTATTTTAGTAGGCATTGAGTATCATTTTATAATTTAATCTCGTAGATTCCACATCTATGATCTCCTCTACATTTTAATTACATTTAAAATATTTTCAATATCTAACATTTGTTACGTATAGACACTTTCTGTTCCTATCAAACACACAATAATATTTTCCAGTATTATCTAAACATTCTAAACTAATAAATATTGTTATAAATAATGTTATTTTAATAAACTTAGTTTAAACAACATAAATAAATTTGTAACTAATATGAACGTTGGAAAGTAACTAATAATTGAATAGCCCTAATTAAATTAAAAAAATCTATTTAAAAAAACAGTACTAACAGTGGTAGAATCAATGTCCAAAATAGTATTATATTATGATAATTTATAATATTTAAATTTTTAAATTTTGTCATTTATATGTTGTACAATATTTTTTATTATTATTTAAACATTTTCTAAAAGAAAGTAATACTTTTGTATTTACAATTAAACTTCCATTGTAAAATATTCATTTATATTCTACGAGTATACAGGCATACAGCTACAATAATATATTAGTAGTAAACAGATACAAATCAATTGTTTATGATTTCAAGTTATTATTTTTTTTATTTTTAATGGTAAATGTAAAATATATTTTTATATTATTTCAAAGTTTAAGAAGTAGTTTTTCGCTTATTAACTTTAGTTTTCCAAATACACTGTGAGCTAAAATGTCTTAAAATGTGTTTAAAATACATACGGTAAATATATTTTACAAATATAATCTATTAATATGTTAACTATATTAATTAAAATCAAATATATCATAATATCATATTAAATGTCTTAAAATGTATTTTAAATATACCCGTTACATTATTGTAGTAAAAAATTACAAAAATTTACTCATATTTTACAACACTCATAATTAAACAATATTGTCACTATCTATTTCATAAATTATACTTAAAATACACTCTGTATGATATTTCTATAAAATTTTACTGAAAATATCTTGACAATGTTACACCTGCATATTTTGAAAACGTGGTTTTTGCTGTCAAAACACAATGTGACAATATTTTGATAATATTCAAAAACTTTCCGAACACACGATCAAAATTTTGTAACAATAATTAAATTTTTCTCACAACATTTTGAAAACATAATTTTTCTGTATATATTATATTATACATTATTTTCTACCAAAATAGCTGTAATTTCAATAAATAAACACATTCAGTAAGATTATAATACCATTATTATCGTACACATAAACTACATAATAATTACCTAAAATAGTGTATTTTAAATTATTTATCACATAATCTTCGCATACACGAAAATAAATTATTTTAACCGAAAACGACTGAGCGGATTAGCAAAATAAATTTATATGAGCAATTATTAATAAAACTACATCGTTAGAAATCGAATTCATAGTCAAACATAATATAATATATAGTACATAATATCGAACTATCTACATTATATACATATATATATATATATATATATATATCTTTTTTTTTCATATTAAATAATGTAATCTACTAGTTACCAATATAAAAATCTGATTTATAGTAAATATTTATTATGGTAAAAAAATATTATACTATGAGAGTATAAATACCTACTATTTTTAATTTAAACTTTACCTATAAACAATATTGTCTTACTTAATTATTATTTATTTTTAACAACAAGATACTTTGACTTTTGAATTATCAGTCTGGTGTTTGGCTTACAATGATATTCTATGGTGTTTTTGTATTATTAATTATTTTATAATTTTAAAATAAAAAAAAAATGTGAAATTACTAAACATACGTTACTGTATCTTTACATTATTTAATATTTTCTAAAAATACATGGGACGTTTAATTTTTTTAATTAATATTGATTTGTTTTCATTTATATTAACCGTACGGTATAATATGTGTTTATTATTTTAAATATTTTTACTGATTATTTTTAGTTATCTGAAGACGGTGTTTTTATCACGAAACAAGGCAAAATTAATTTTGTTGATTTGGCTGGCAGTGAAATGACTAAAAAAACCATGAGTGAAGGAAAAACTTTAGAAGAAGCAAATAATATCAACAAAAGCTTAATGGTTCTAGGTAGTACATAATGTATATATGTATATTGTATTTGTATGTGTGTGTGTGTCTGTGTGTGATTTATAGCTGATACATATCATCCCCAATCAAGATCAATTTATACAATTAATTTATGGATACACAATACAATTGCATACGAATAATGTACAATCAAGTTATAAAAATATCTAGACAAATTGTAAGTTCAAGTTATATCAGTAGCGAATCCAATAACTGGTATTATTTTATGTTCCTTTCAAATTGTTATAATATTACATACAAAAAGGTTAACATCTATTTCCACCAATATTTTTACATTATTCTTATACAAATGTATTAAATAAAATAATTTTTGATAATCATCAGACTTCAGGGTCTTCAACGTCTTCTTAATCGATATGTCATAATGGAATTGTTGGTTGAACAGTCGAGGTCAACTTTTTAGTAGCCGTTGAATAAATAATAAAGATATTTTCTTGGGGTCATCATTCCACAAAAATAAAAATAGAAAACCTAACCCTTTCGATCAATAACGCCTTTACCAATACTGACTTCCAATCATGTGTATAGAGTTCATAACTATCAGTGCAACACAGCGTGTCAAACGGAAAAGTTGACCCCCGCCACGATAGAGGCGGGGGAATAAATAGTTACGAAAAATGAAAAATAAACGTTCTTTCGTTTTAATGATCTTTCTTTTTTTTCTTACTTAGGCTACTGCATAGCATCGCTGAGTGATCCTAAGAAGCGGAAAGGTCACATCCCGTATCGAGACAGTAAACTTACCAAACTCTTGTCTGATAGCTTAGCCGGTACTGGTGTCACGTTAATGGTAAATTATTTTAAAATTTAATAACAATTTTAACTGTGCCAATATAAAATAAAAAATAAAAAACTGAATTAAAAATACTTATTTTTGACACATACAATTAAATTTAATTCAATTTTACTCCTATGTTCAAAAAATAAACAACAAATTCAAACAATTTTTTTATAAATATTACATTATTACGATATATGTATACATTTGTTACAATAATAAAATAAAAGGGTGGTGAAAAAGTTTGTATCTTTATAAGACATACTAAGTGATTCCCTGAACATAGAACCTCTATTTTTCATGTATTTATTTGTGTTCTATTTTTAAAATGTTTTATTGTATTTTATAAAGACTATATTTTTAAATACATTTACTTAGATTTTTATTCCGTCTAAGCGGTATCCTGAAGCGATGACAATTTATTTTAAATTTAAATCACCTTCTTTACGTAAATTGTTCAGCAAAAGACTTGATTGAAAATGTTGATGTACCTACTAAGCTAAATTAAAAATTATACGATTATTTTTTAAGTTACTTAATTTTTTTTGTTTTAAGAACAATAGATTTATTAAAAAATTATGAAAGAAAATTATATATAAATCTATTAAAATCTTAAAATTTGTAAAAAAAAAAAAAAAATGCCTAACATAAAAGTATTAGATTAAATATGAAATAAATTTCATATTTTTGTCCATTTTAAAAAAAACACCTTTAATATGTACAGTTTTATTACTATAAGAAACAACTCGTTCAATTGTTAATTGAAATGTATCAACGTTTTCATTTGTTTGACAATTTTCAATAAAAAAAAATTCATTCGCATTTGAGAAACTAAATTTATTGTACCCCTATCAATACATAGTGCTGTATGATATAAAAAATCTATTTATTTTAAAAACAATACTTAAATATATGCTTCAAAATTCCAGAATTTCTAGAATTTAAATAAATTCATAATAAAAGAAAATGAAGGTAAGCATATTAAAGGAATAGTTCTGTATAGACGTGTATACATAAATAAACATGTGTGATTATATTTTATTCGTTTTACTTATGATACATTTAACGTATATTATAATCTATAAGAATAATGATTTCAATATTTATAATTTATTTTTATAGATAGCATGCATATCACCAGCAAGATCAAACGCTAGTGAGACAATAAGCACATTAAGGTATGCAGCTCGTGCAAAAAAAATCAAAACCAAACCAGTGATAGTTATGGTAAATAACATTTTTAATAATTTTGATATTAAACTTATCATAAGCATTTAATTTTAATGTTTTCATAATTTTTCATTTTAATGTCAAAACTAAAGAGCGGATTTTTAGGTTCTTAAAAGCTTAAAATATGATGCTAATATGTTCTAAAAAAAACCCTAAAATATTCTCTAAATATACCTTAAACTTTTAAATATAATAATATGATTTGTTTTTTTTTTCAAAATAATTAAATTAAAACAATAAATAACTTATGTACTATTCCTTTTTGGTAACATATAAAATATTTAACTATAAAAAATACAAAACAGTTCATAGGTATATGAATATAATGAAATACGTATATAATATAAAAACAAAATAGTTTAATAAAAACAATGCATAACTTGTATGGCCTTTAGTGACAGCTAAGTTATTTAACTATAAAATATAAATCAGTTCATACTTAGTTACCTTTATAAATATAATTAAATATTAATAAAAAAACAAATAAAATTAATAAAAACAAAATTAGTTCATACTTAGTTACCTACTAAACTTTATCACCATCAGTCGTAAATACTGTATCATTTATTTTATTATACGGCTCTATCCACTGTTTATGTAAATATTTTAAACTTTTGTTAATTTTCGGTATTTAAATAAAATAAAAATGAATATTACAAATGTAACTAAATCGTCAGACATTAAAGTTAAAATAATAAACAATATAAAAGTAAAAATAGATTTATTATTAGAAATCATTCTTATCACGTTATTATAAGATCGTAAGTACAATCATGGATGAAGAGTAACAGAATGATCATCATTACCAATTTGATTACAAACAAGTAGATAATTGGATGATTTTTAATTTTTATCATTCTTATATAAAATAATTTTTTTTTCTAAGCAAAACTGTTGCTGAAAAATATCACAAATCGATAAATTAATAATGTATAATATGATTTTTTATGAACAATAATAGAATATATTCTAAAATATGAAAAATAGGCTAAATATTCTCTTAAGTCAAAAATATGCTTTAATATGCTAAATAAATTTTTTCCTACGAACTCTGTGATGGATAAGTCGTCCACATTTTTCACTCTCATAAAGCTGCATAAAACCAATAAAAATATGTAAAAACCTAAAAATCCGCTCTCTAGTCATAACAATAATTTCACAGACGCTTTAACGTTTTCTTTTACGATTATTAATTTACAAAATGACCAAACCAATTATATTCTATCTGAATAATTAACAATATAAAAGTGATATTTTTAAAATTAATTTGTAATTTTATCAACATTATAATTTATCATTTTTAAATTTGATGACCAATCATTATTGTAGTTGTTATTGTTTAATTACAAAAATTATAATTTAGTATCTTGAAATCTTATATCATATTATATTAAATTAAAAAAAAAATTGTTTCTAATCATTGTCATTTTGTTTAAAAACAGAGTGAATAATTAATTAGTAGCATATTAAAAAAATATCAACATAATATTATATGTGTCCAGTTCCTTTAAATTATAATTCCTAAGTATTCCAATTTATAAACAGGTCATGTTAACAATACGTCACTTAAAAAAAAAGAAAAAAATTGCCTTCTAAAAATACTATATTATAATATATTAAGAACTCTATTATGACCTAGGGTGGTGCGGTGGTTGGCCTCGGTCACTAATGTGTTCTAAGGTCAAGCATCAGCCGACGTCACTAGCTCTCGGATGGGTGACCATACGAGTTCTTAGAAACGAATTCATGGCAAACACACGTACACACTCATTTTCCAACCCTACTAACCAAACCTTACAAACAAACGTTATACAAAAAAAACCTATTGTTCCTATGCTCAGCTAATGGTCTTAGTTTCCAAGCTTAAATAAGATCAATAAAAAAAAAAAACTATTTACGTTAAATTTACATCACAGTATTAAACAAATAATCTTCAATTATATTTTTGGTACAACTTGAAAAGTAATTTACAAAAACACTAAACTTTATAAAGCTTATATAATTTAAATAAAAATCCACTAAAACTTCTTATGATAAATAAATTTAAAGAATAATATTTATTATTACATTAACAAAGGGAATTATTTAAAAATAAATGTCCATTAATAGTAAAAATTTAAACTAAATAATAATAAACTTGAACTTTCAAATTATAGTGAAAAATTTTTGGCAAAAATTATTTAATGGTTTAAACGCGTACATTGAGACATCAAAATATTTTGATTATAATAAAAATAACTTATTTTAGTTAAATGTTTAATGCGTGATAACATTAAATATTTTTATTTAAAAAAAAATCATAGTTAAGATTCTATAGTCTACTAAAAACGTATTTAAAATATAATAAATTCTTTGCTTTACTTGTAAGTTTTTTTAAATATACCTACTGATTGTCTTTGTATTAATATAATATATATTATAATGAGTAATGACTACCAGTAGGTTTATAATATATATTACATTTAAATGTAATAGATACTAAAATATAAGTTTCTCTATAATACTGTATAAAATGTTTTTCAAAAAAATTTTCTAAACAATTTTATTCATTTGAATAAATTATCATCATCATTATTATTATTATTATTATTATTATTATTATTATTATAATTATTGTTTTTGAACTTTTAAAATAAATGTTAACATAACTTTTTTTATTATCATCTTATTAAAACAATAGATGTAATAAATAACATTTTCTTGTCATGATAACAACAAACTACTTAATTTATTACTACATATAGCCATATAAGTATGTAACAAATAAATTTCATACATTATCTTAATATACCAAGTTAAATGTAGTTTTCAAAAAAAAAAGAAATGATATTTAATGTCGTATTTTCTTATAGGCGACATCGTCAAATGAATTATAATAGAAACTCTGCAATTTCAAAGTAATAAAACCCTAATCTAAATTTATTGCAAAATTTTAAGCTTTAAACAAATAATATATTAAACAATAAACGTTATAATTTTATAAGAGATTTTATTATATAATTTATTTACATATTTATGACGGTCCAATGTTTCCAAAAAAATAATATAGCATGATACATAAAACAATTTAACAAAGTTATCATAATAAATAATGAAAAAATATTTAATTAAATTATAATTAAGTACTTTTCTTATTAATATTAGCAGAAAACGATGAGCCTTCGTTTTCCAATTTCATAATTCGTAGAATAGGGCAGTTATAGGAAAAATGAATAGAAAGTATTGATATAGTAATATAATGTCCCGGACTCCAAAATTCAATTTAAACAACAGAATTACACTATAACAACAATATTTTTTTTAAAAAAAGATATGTTAATTTGTACCCTCCTACCAGCAACTATTTAAAACTATAGATAGATTTAGTTACTACTCACTGTAACATATCAGCGAATAATTGAATATATTATGTTAAAATGTTTACGAGTTATCCATGTTTAAGATATGGAAAGTTCATTAAATTCTATCCTTATTTTGCACTTTAATTAAATTCACTAATTTTTTTAATTAACTTCTATTAGTGGTGGAGAAATTTTAAACAAACCATTGTAGTATGTATAATATTTCTATTGAAAAAATATGCATAACAAAGTATTTTGTGTGATAATAAGCGTGCATTAAATGTTTACAACGCTTAACTCAGACATTTATGAACATTGTTCGTCGAAACCAAAAAAGTCCATTAACCTTCAGAAATGCGTAAGCTTAAATGATATAGAATTAATCAACGTTGCCATTTTCTTTCATCTAAGTTTCGTTGAATTACATAAATACGATTGGTGGTAAAAATTGGTTTATTGATCTTTAACCTGTAATACTAACAAATTATGGTAGTACATCAAAATATAATTCTATAATTATTTAAATAATGCAATTTTGATTAAATTATGCACTTCGTATTGCCCATAGAAATACCATACAATATTGAAGATACAACATTTAAAACATTGATTGCGTAATTAATTAATTGCATGTAAAATATAATTTAACGCGTTTAACAGAGATTTACAAAATACTTAGTCATGACTGTTATGAATAATAATTGTTAAAAATTTATTTCAGTATAATACGACATCAAATTTAACGCACAATATTATCCTTTTTAGAAACTTCAATATGATTTATAATTTGTACATTATATATATGTATTAATAAACTCACATAATTTATTTATTTATTCATTATATATTTTACGGGCTGAGCTCTTTTTACAAGGATATACCTACAAATGAATTTGATTGACAGAAGATATGTGCATAATAGATACAATAATAAACCTATTTAATAATCAATAATTAACCTATTTTGAAATTATCAATTGAATTATATTCGCTTGTTGTAGGTAAAGAAATTAATTCTAGTTGATCTTTTTCATTTTTTTTTTTATAATAAGTCATATTGAAAATTATTAATAAACCTATTATAATACATTTTTTTATGACGCTTCCATTAAATACTTATTTATACTCACTTGTCGTTATATTTATATTATAACTTAAAAATATTACTCTTGATTTTATTCAGGATCAATATTCTGAATATTTTTGATATTACTTGATGTTGAATAGAAATAAAGAATCATTTGTATATCTAATATTCCATGTACCGTATTAAGCAAACTTGTATAATGTATATACTCTCATGAAGCATAATTTTATAACTAATATAATTTTTAATAGATTTTTCAACTTTTTTTAAAATTGATGATATCACTTACTATTTCTTTTCTATTACATTTTACACTTAATATTTTTTAAATCATTCAAAAGCTTTATACATTATTCAGGCAATATTAAATGCCTGTTTTAATTGTATTCTCATTAAAACATTTAGTTTTATTCATAAAGTAACAACTAATAAATAAGCAAAACTTATGTAAAAAAAAAATAAAATAGATTTTTACATTAATATTTATATTATATTAATAAAGCATAATAGTATATGCTATGTAAATATTATTATTAATATTTTTGTTTATTACTTAATATATTAAAACAATTTATTGCTTATGTAGATTTATAAATAGAATATACTAATTAGTTAAAAAATAATATAATATACACTTTATTAATATATATATATATATCAGTACAGTTTATGTGCCTGTGCAAATAATATATTACTTTTCAATACATATTTTATAGTTCTGCTCTTGTACTATAATAATTATTTTTATACGAACTGAATACTTTTTTTTTAATCATCGAAAATCCTGTTTTTATCAAAACCAAAAAAAAAAAACAAAAATTAAAAACAAGTTCTCCAAGTAAAACATGATTATTTTCATTTCTAGTGGTTTTTTATTTTTAATATTTCGCCCCTATTGTTATGTATTTATTTACGTTCAATGAATGTTAGAAAACACCTGCACATCAGTAAATTGCGTCCTTCCAACAGAATGGTTCAATATTATGATGTAGGTACCCATCTAAATAAAACAAATATATGATAGGTTTTATAATTAAAATGTTAGTCCTACTCACCAGGCGCCAATTCGGAGGTGAGTGCCATCTCCCACCCTCGTTGGTCGTATCAAAATGTGTTATTTAATTTGGTATATATCAAATTGCAATAGTTTGTGTTATCCTATGTTAATGTATTTTAATTATAATAATTATTCAAATTCATACATTTTCGTCTTTTATATTCCTAACATAAATTAATAAATTGATGATAACAACATTATTAATGTGACCTACTGTCAAATGAGCTACGATGACCGTCGCTGCTAGCCGACGCGCGTTGCTTCATAGGATTTTGTCTTAAAAATATCTTCCGTATTCATCTAAAATATATCTATACAATTATTGCTTATCAGTTCATAAAAGTCACGTAATAGTAATATTACATAGTGTTGATCACGCAGAATACACATTACGCTATCAACAATTCCACACTCGACAACCGTCGATACACACATTTTACGATACCTATTAATTATCCATCCCTCTCATTAATTTAGCATGCTACTCACTCGTAATAAATCATGGATACATTAGTTTGATTATGTTTTATAATTCTATGTAATGTGTTACAATCAAATTCAACTAAATGCGTCAAATAATAATATGTATATTATTAATTTTACACGTTATTGTATACCTGTTAATTATTTTATTTTTTTTTTTATTATTAATAATTTTTAGTGTATTAATTATTATGTTTATAAAACAAAAAAAATACTTAAGCATAATGTATCAATAATTAAAAAACAACAGATTGTTTAAAATATTTTATAAAATATTAAGTACCTACCTAAATTTATCATTATGTACATTATACAAAAATTTTAAAATTATAAAATATTAGTAGAATAGTGCTTTAAAAATAGTTTATAAATTATATTTATTCGATGAATCCAAACCAAACATTTCAATAAATCTTAAATATTCAATTTAAAAATATTTATTTTTTTTAATGCCGAACCATTTTAATTACAATTGTATTTTGATCATACAATTTAATATGCTAACCGTTCGAATCAAATAACATTTTAGATAGTATTCTTAGATTATTTTCGAAAAATATAATCTAAAACATTGTTACATCAAATATTAATTCTTTCACTTTAGACATTATTACTACACTTAAAAATGTTCACCTTTAACATTAAATTTTAGACATATTTTGATTTATTTATGTTTTAGATTATTTCAACACCTGAATACTTTATAAACATCATAATATGTCGTAAACCCTTTTTAATGAGTTCAAAGTTTGTAGATATAAAAGATTTTAAAATAAATAAACATTATTAAATAACTTTACTCGTACATCATAATCGATGAAAGTACTCTAAAATTGCTGTTCCTAATTTTTAAACTTGAATAAATCATTATTTGTTTTATTCATATCCCCATAATAAATTTTATTTTATTTTTATTATATTTTTTATTTAAGTAAAAAATTGCTATTTTTTTTTTTTAAACCATTGTATAAAAAACAATAACAGTTATATATTCAAATATAAGTAACATTTGTCATAAGTAAATTATAAATATATACATCAAACATAACACCTACTAAAATAATTTTTTCAAAAAATGTATTTGACTTTAGTATAAAACTATATAAATAAATTTAAATAAAACTAGACAGTTACAAAAACGCCATTAGGGTAAATATAAATTAAATAAAATAAATAACGATAATCACTACATTTTATAACAAGGTTTGCAAATTAATTCAGATGTTAAATATTGTTAACAATTACGGGGAATTTGTTGTGTGTTTATTTAAAAGTATGGCTAGTAAAGGAATTAAAGTACTTGATATAGTTTTAAATTCATTCAGAAAACTGGACACTATAAAATACCAAAACTATAATATGATATTTCAATTTTCCTTTCCACTTACGCCATTTTTATCTTACCAGTACACACAAAACTTGTTCTTCTTGATTCCCTGGTAAATGTGAATGATGTTTCATTATTTCCGAGTACATCAGTGGCATAACAAATAATAAACAGTAAAAATAATATCAAACAAAACCGATTCTCAGTAAATACCACAATTATTACACGTTTATATGATGATGACTGTTGTATATGATCACATTACGGTCCCTTGTCTGTACAACAGGACCCCAGAGAAGCATTAATCGTCAGTTTGCGGCGTGAAGTGGAAGCGTTGCAGAACGAAAACGATCATTTGCGAAATGCTCTGGATATTAACAAGACGTCGTCGGCCAGTATTTTGAGTAAGTTACTTGTATACATGGACACTGTTCTTTGTGATAAAAATAGAAATAAATACAATACACAATGATTACCAGTTACCACTAACAACATGATTACATTAATATTTAACGACATAAAGTAGTGTGGTCAACAATGGTAGGGTGTAGCAAAAGGTTAGTACAAAAAATAGTTTTAATATTTTAGACTACCAAATTTTATCTGTAAAAAATGATGGTAAATTAAAAATAAAAACAATATAATTGAATATTTTGACTAAAAAAAATAAAAAAATTCTGATTTTCCATGAACAATTTGTGTGAACGCAAATCACATTTTGCGAACACTTAATTTTGCACATTATAATACCTAGCTACTTTAAAAGTTAATTAAAATACATAGGAAATCTTGCCGTCAATAATCACGGTAGAAATGTGATCGAACTACCAATAGGAATGTTTAATTTCTGGTCATCTAAAATAAAAATGATATACTTAAGCATTAAGTATTATTATGTAAGTATTTATATAGATTTTAAATTTAATATTTTATGTTTATTTAAATACAAAATAATTTTTATCGTTTATGTAAGTATTAAGTTGTTACACCCCCCCCCCCCATTCCAATCAAACAACTCGCAGTTTTTTTTTTTTTTTTAAACCCTATTGTTCAAATTTAGGGATATTTTGTACAACGCTTTACTATTAAAATAATTACCTAACTATAAAAAACCATAAAAGCGTATTCCCTTGTTAGTATAATACAAAATAACATCGTTACAGAAATATATTGTATACAATTCGTTACATAAATTTTACTGTGGTACAATAGTTCCAAAAAGCAACATAATTTTCATTACATAATCAATAATTAAAAAAGAAAATTATATTGAAGATATTTGGTGAATGGTGAGCTTATTTTACTTAAACAGTAAATATGAAATGGAAATAACATTGATAACCATAAAACTTAAAGACGTGTAAAATATATTAAATGTTCAAACATATTTGTGTAATAATGTTACGAGTACACTAAAGAGTCAACCGCTATTTTATTATTATTTCTTATTTACGTACAGAAATAAAATGTGATATTAAATTGCGTTTCTTTTAAGTTAGCATTTGTCGAGTTAATTCATCTAAAATATCTCTCAACTTTATTAAAATTAAAAACAATTTTTTTTTTATCTATACATTTCATAGATAAGTTGGTTAGTATCAACAAATTGTATAAATTTAATTCGAACTTTACAACTCAAAATATTACTACTTGTCTAAAATTATTTCTTTTTATAAATACAATACAGTTTCTGTGTTCAACACGTTGAACAATATAATCCACGATTAACAATATTTCAACAAATAGCTACATACATCCGATGATAGTGTTTCCGTTCAAAAAACAATATATTTCAGACATTTCCTATTATTTTTCCGATTATCAAGTGACAAACGATTTAAGGATACCTACCTTTGTTTTGTCTTTCTTATGTTCTATCAAAACAATCATTTTATTAAAACGCTACCCTTATACTTATAATATGTTATATTATATTATATTATTTCGTATTCAGTTTCGGTAAAACTATCCCTTAGTTTTTACACGTTTACGCAATTTCGTACACAACCATAATAACAATAATAATAACATTTTCAGCCGAACCTGACCTAATAATTACTTTTATTTCTCGTAGATGTAAAAATGCCGCCCAATATGGACATGGACCGGTTAATACAAATGGACCCCAAGGAGCTTGTGGATTTGGTCAAACATTACGCGAACGAAAATGAGGCGCTGCGCAGAGAAAACGCCGAGCTATTCAACTCCAGGGACCTATTACAAAGAGACCACGAAATTGTTTGTCGGGAGAACGAACGGCTACTGAAGAAACTTGAGGACGTCAACTCGTAAATACTTTTATAAAAAAATAACCGATTTTGTGATTTTGTCTCTATTTTTCTTTCTTCTTTTCGTCTCATAGCAATAAAATGTTGTACGTGTGTCTCTTGCTTGATTAATTCTTTGCAGTTGTTATGTCTACACTGTTATGTTTTTTTGTCTTCGGTTTCTACAGCACAGTTTTATTGAATTTCTATCTATGTATTTTAAACTCTTCGAAACTATTTTAGTCTGTTTCTAACAAGACTAAAAAATACTACTTAGGCTTACGATCAAAAATGAAAATTGTATTTCATTTTTATAATAAGAAAACTAACATAATGGATTTATCTACTTGGTACTTGTCATTTATATGAATAACGTGTTAAATAATTGAAAATAATAATAAACTTAGATTAGTTCAACCCTTCGTAGTTCGTGGTTACTTTAATATGTATGCACGACGTGCGCATATTAAAAATTAACGAAACGTCAAGAAAATTAACCTTAATGTAATTTAAAAACTAAATTAATATTTTAGTTTTAAATACGTCACTGTTGCTATTTTATTTTATAATTATTTAATATTTAGGTAACACGATAATACTGTATACCACAATAAATATCAACACATACAGGTCGAAATTAAAGAATCGTAAAGCCGTCATTACAAAATAAACTAAATCAATCTATACAACGTTCGTGACGAGAATAGAATACATCAAAGCAATAATACACTTGGAAAATCGTAATCATAGAACATACTAAAACAATTTTAAAGACACGAATAACTAATATAATATCATTTAAATTCAATTTGAATACAATTTAAAAGTCCTTGATAACTACAAAAATAAACCCATAAGCACAGTTATATTTAATATTCGTAATATACTTCAATCAGAAATACTATTACAATATACGTAAATCTCACGATTCTTAACTTCGTTAAATTGCATGCCGTGCACAATCCCGTAATTATTAAAGCGCTAGAACAAACATACTTTCAGGGCATGTATAAGATCTCCAATAATTCCAGCGCGTGGCCAATATGTTGACAAAATTGAACTGGCCTCGACCAACAGCTCTCTAAACACGCAAAATATCCAAATGGTAAGTTGAATTACATTTAAATATTTTTAATCAATTTAAATATGATTTATGTTACTTCCGTATTTCTATCAATATATTTGGAGCTTTATAATAATTTGTATTTACGTATAATATAGTATATGTGCAATTCAAATTTTGAATTTTAGTAAAAATTAAAACTATTGGACGAAAGTTTGAATACTAAATAATATATAACTAAAAATATGTTCAAACAACTAGAATAATGTATAATATAATAACATGATATAAGAATAATTTAAATGTATGCATTATAACGAAAGTTCTTTATTTTCTATAGGTATTTAATACTTCAGTATTAAAAATAACATATAAAACTCGATAGACACATATTTTACTTTATGTTTTGTTTGCTGTATGAATAATATTTCAATATAATACGATTTATCATTTACACAAATTTTTAAAATATAAATATGAATATTGTATATTCAAGGGTTTTAGTCAACTTTTGTTACCACAGTCAAACCTCTAAGGAATACGAAATATAGGTTTGACAAACGTTTGATCCTCGAATATCATAAATTTACAAGTTTACTTATCCGATTGATTAACATAATATCACAAGAAAAAATATAGATCTTTTAAAAAAAAAAAATGTTTCGTATTCATTTTTATAAAAAAAATTAGAGAAATGTATAAGTTTTTGTACTCGTTTTTCTTTCTTTTGTTTTTTAATTTCTAAAAAATAAATGATTATAAGTACGAATAAAATATATTATCAGTGTAATATAATAGAAATGCATTCATACATAATACATCCAAAGAAATTAATAATCTAGTTTAAATTTGATATTTTAGAATCAGATGTAACTATACACAACTTCGCTGTACCTACTAATATAATTCCCTATCTCCTACTGGATTGTATTTCGCTCTAGTATGGTGTTTACTTATTTAACTCATCTTAAGAAAAATATTATACAGTAATATGAATTTACAGTATTAAATTTGAAAGCAATAATAACTCACCACAATAAAAATATGACTCTGAGTTGAAAACAAAAAGATTTAATACGTGGATCCATCGAAACTAATATATTATATATATATATAGTACAAAATGTCAAAAAGTAGTCGATGAGGGGCCATTTTACAGTCACTGCCTGGTTGGCTACACGATCGAGTTGGATTATTCTAAGCATAATTTAACCAGTGGTAATCAGCCTTTCTCGTGGGTTTTACTATAGTTTTATGGTAAATCTGAAAATGCCAGGACCAAAGCCCCAGAGGTTATTTCAAACTAACCATAGTAAATCTAGTTTTATGGAGATTCTCACATTCACATAGTTTAAATTCACCATAGGCAGCGAATAGTCTTATATTAGCTAAGCTGGCAGTTCGATAGCAATAAATTTTCGGGTATCTAACTAAATCTGAAACACTAATATTGTCAACAAGAAAATGCAAGTATTACTAACATAATAACTTATATACCTATTGGAATTCAATAGTTTTCCAATCCGTAAGTTGTATCTACTGGTGTTTTTAAATATCAAAATCTAGGTCGTTATTTGCCAAGTTTATATCCATTAAACAATTTTGCTTATTCCGTTGTGTTCGACATGTAGCTTTTGTGTAAGACTGTTTTAGGACTTAAATTCTAAATAATAAAATATATCGTTAAAGAAAAGCATTGCGGCATTTAAAATAAGTATTACAGAAACATATATGTAATTAAAATATTAACAATAATAAAATAAAAACCCGTCAAATCACATAAAATATAGCAAATTGCTCAATATTATAAAAATTAAGTTAATAGTTTAAAAATCATACTATTTGATTTTTGAACATAAATTTAACACGGTTGAATACGGTGCTATTATAACTTCAATAGCATTAATGTGATAAATAAATTATAAACATGAACTTTAATCATTAAAGCATAATTATCAATTGCATACACATTTAATACAGACACTGTAGAATAAACTCAAATTTAATTAGCTTCGAAAACGGAAAATTTCTTAAGCTATTACAATTCAAAACAATTTTTTCTTTATTAAAAACGTTAACATAAATAACAACATTCTTTGCACGTAATTCTTATCAGTTTTTAATCACCACCAATTATTGTCAATTGTTAGACATGACTTAATTAAGTTTAAAATACATAAATATTAGGAAAATACTTAGAATGATTCTAAAAAAAAGAAATAAATACCTACCTACTTATTGCTTAATAAAGAACCAATTATAAACAATGTTTTTATAATTTAAATTTCATATAAATCCAAAAAAGTTTAACAAACATGATATATTGCCATTAGCCACTAGAAGTTTATATAATAAATAAAAAATATATGTTTATAAACTTTAAATAAGGATATGAGTAAAAATGAAGTTTAAAACATTAAAATGTAAAATGGTTATATCTTTAAATATCATATATATTTTACCATAAAAGATGACATTTAATCAATGTTGACAATACCAGTCAATAACGATAATGCCTGATTTAACAAGAAATTAACGTCAATAACTAGTCATTGATAACAATTCCTAATAAAAGAAGGCATTGATGATAACTAGAGTTAAGATGTTTATGACTTTTGCATATTTTTTCTTTTAGTTGTGCACATTACAGATTCAGTAATAAATTCGTTGACATAGAATCAGTACATTCAATTTTATGTTACAAATTTAAAAATAACTTAAATATGATATGAACCTCGATGTAACGCAAATGACATATTTAATTTTTTTTTAAGTATATTTTAATATTTATCCGGCATATTTTCATGTATTTTTAGTTTTTTTAAGGCCATAAACCCTAATGATAACATTAAAAATTAAGTTAAAAATTGAATAATATATTATTATACTTATTATCTATTATAAGGATAAATCATAATCTCAAAACATTTAAGATTAACTTATTTTTATTATATCGATTTTTTTTTTTTTTTTAAGTGACTTCAATATTTTATATCTTTTCATCCTTATTATTTCATGGTAGACTGTTATGACACTTAGAATTACATAATCTAGTACATGCACGATAATCACTAAGAACATCTATTGGTTTTATACTGTGTTTTACAATGGCATCCTGTAAATCCTTACGATCCAGGTATGCTGTTGCAAATAGTTACAATAGGTTATGATAACAAAAATAAAACCGGGTTTACCATAAATGAATATACTTTAGGTACCTACCTATGTTTCAAGATTAGATCGATCGCCGATACAGCATGGTGTTAACATTTGTTTTGATACGGATTTATAACATTGCCAAATATAATACGAAAATGTTGATAAAGTTACGAAATATCCAACATTTCCTATACTTTCCAGTCATTGTCAACAATGACTGGGAAATCACGATAATTCCTGAATTATCATCTTTTTGGTAATATATATAAGAATAATTTATAAACAATAGATACAATCAAAAAAAATTGTATAAATAAACATAAACATGAAAACAAATAAATAAATCATATCTACGAGTATGTGGCCAAAATCAATGTCGACAAAAAAATAATAACAAATTTACAAATTTACTGAACAAATTTAACAATTTTAAAATAATATGTTGATCACTTTAAACATCTAAGATATTACTATTTCAGCGAATAGATATTAAAAAAAAAAATCTAAATATTATGATAATTAATAACAAAAAATTTTACAAAATTTTAACTGATTAAATATTTTATATACCTAATATACATTTTCGAATAATAATAATAACCTTGTTAATAATAGTCTAAAATTATTATACATTAACCCTAAAAATTCAACTTCATTAAACATTAAACTATGAATTATAAATTTTAAAATCTTAATCATAAAACGTAATTCAACTGACCTGCAAAAAAATAAATAAAATGTGGCCTTAAAATACAGTAATAATAGGTGTACAAAAAAATATACATAATTTTTAATTTTAAAATTAATTTTGGATTAACAAAATAAGTATTATTTCAAATTATATTAAGTTTGTTTGTATTAAATCAAGTCTAGTTAGTAGTATTTTTTTGAAAATATGTATTTTAAATTTCCACAATATTCTTTATAAATTTATGAGAATCTGACGACAACCTTAAAAAGTAATGAAAGTACTTTAGCAAAAATGTTTTAACCAAACTCCGCTCTGAATTGTTTTACAAATACAATGGTATACTTTAAGTATAGTTTTCAAATTTATGGTAAATAATACACCACTTTATTCATTATTGTTCATTTCTGCTCTGTAAAGAGTGAAGTCAGACGAGTGATCACGCCTGTCATTCGTATTCTGCATCTAATCTAGTTTTTTAGTATTTAACATTTTAAAATTAAATTATCAATTCACATAATTTTTTTTTTTTAAGATAAAATGTCTCGTTTCTTGTAGTGATAAAACTGATAAATGACGATACTTATATGGGTTTTATATTTTGTATAAATAACACGAACAATGCTCATATATTGAATAACTAATAACTCATAAATGGCAAAACTTATCCTTAATAAATTGTTGAACTGTAAAAGATAAAAATGGATACAAACAAAGAAACTTTTGTATAGATTTAAAACAAAAATCATGTAAATAACACATATAAATTCATAAAATGAAGTGTTATGATTACATACATAATCAAAAACATATTTAGTCAAGAAATACATTATGTTTCAGGAAAATATTGGATTGGAGAGAGAAAAAAGAGATTTACCTATAGCCTATCAAAGAGAAATAGATAAAAAAGGAATTGGAAATACGTATGATATTGAAGTATTCGTTATTATAGAAATAACACTATAAGTTTATTATTTTTCAGAATAAGTAATTTTGTGGGCTCTTTCAAAAACCGAAGAAAAGCTTTATCAGATATTTATAAAACACCGTCGAAACCAACTTCAACTAAAAGGTAAAAAAATAATAACATATAAATCCTCATGAATTTTCGCGGAAATTTTTACTCACCCTACGCGTCATGGTGTATATAACTTCATTTTATATACACCAACCAACATAAAAAGTCATATATCATATTATTCAAAGTATAGTGGCTAAATAATTATTGTCTAGACCGTTTCATATAAAATTAACATATCAACTGAAAACCCCACAGGAATTTCAGTAAATAAGTTTTCCTTGAAAACTTCAAAATGTACCCGTCTTATTTAATTAGTCTTGCAAACTTTCTAAAACTAAAGTAAACAAGTTTTCAATAAACCAACTAACGGCTCCAAAGATTGTAAGCATTATAAAACTCGTATGTGTTTAAATCACCATTGTTTAAAATACGTAATTTATAAATTACAACTAGGCTTAAAGAATAATTATGTAAAAATAGTGTTTGGGGTTAGGTTAATACACATTAATAATGTTTATCGTGTCAAAAGCTCATATTGTATAGAATTGATACTTGACGTCACTTATTAATTAAGTTTGACAAGTAAATAAAATATATGTACCTATACTTCGTAACTTTATGAAACTATACCTCATCGGTTTTACACAATTTATAAGCCATATCATATTGAAACAGTATCCAATTATAGTCGATTGAATATTTCAATTATTTGGAACAAAACATGCAATATTAAAATAAAATACTGACGTATTTTTAAAGAGAAACAATGGTTGAAAAACCCACTAGCTACACTTTACTCAATTACGGTTCTTATTGAACACGCAATATAGTAAATTAAAATTTAACGAGAAGTATTTTCAAATAATTTGTGTACAGAAAATATGTACAGGAATCAATATAACTAACATTTCTATACGCATACAGCCAACAAAATGTTTCTAAAATGTATTATGTACATAAGTAAATTGCCAATGGACTAATATTATAGAATTAAAAGAACTATATTATTAAATTTAAATTTAAACCCTGTATAAATAAAGAGTAACACTTCAAATGGTCGACCATTAATTCTTTATAATCATGCAGCCAAATTGAACGACAAACACAGGTATTCATAAATTTAGAATATTTTTAATTTTACTTAGACCCTACTGTACCTAAGTAATATCAAGAAGGTACATAGTTTAAAAACTGCTTTACCTATATAATATATTGCATGTATATTGTATACAATACCTGCTAATTGTATATCAAAACAAAAAACATGATTTTAATAATTCTACAACAGTTATATTTTCATGAAAAAAGTTTATTTTAAGTACTTAACCAATTAAATTATTTCAACAATCCAAAAATCTTTAGTGATTTACGTAATCTAAATTATTTTCAATATATTGAGCGAACACTTATTTATCATTATTAACAATACATTTTTTTAAGTATTATTAATTTGAATTGCATTGCATTGGCAATGTTTTAAATCCTTATACAATTGTTTAGTTTAATAAAATTCAATATTTTATTATTTTGGAAAAATCAAAATAACTCTCAATTTTTTTAACTAAAACAAAATTTATAAATATATAGCCATAAGGAGAAAAATGATATATTATATTTTTAATGTTATGAAAGTACAATTATTTATATATAAATTTATAACTGATGATACAAATTCAATTTTAAAGGACCTATATTCAACTCCAGACAATCCCTATACAACCATCCTTTTCCGTGCTCTAAAACATAATTATACCGGTAGCCTAAACTAAACATAATTATTAAAATGAATAATGATTATTCAATTTTTTGTACTTCAGTTTAAATCTGTAGACTTAAGTAAGACTTAAAATTCGTAGGTACTTATTTTAAATAGTATAGTAATATAAACCAAACTATAATCTGCATTCTGTGTAATATACAGATAGGTACTTTACATATAATATATACGATATACATAATATATATTTCCAATGGGTGGCACTAAAACATAGATAAAAGTAAAAAAAAAATTGAATTTTCAATAAAACGAGTTAAACCTAATTTATAAAATACCAGTATACTTAAATCGAGCTTTGATTTAAATTAACACAACAAAAACAGTATCATAAAACAGAATACAAATGTAAATGAAAAAATAATCAATAATTTACTGGATTAAATTATTATTATTAATTCATGACAAATAAACACGAACAAAACAATTTCATCGTTTTGATATGCTAAAATATTGCTGGCAATATTATCCTATTAAAATGATTGACAGTGACAACTAATAAGGATTAAATTATTTTTAATTACTTAGCTGATAGTTACCCGCCACAATAATGGTTATTTTTATGCGAATTTAAACAAAAATATCAGCCACTAAATCATACTAATTAAATATATTTCGAATTTTAATTAAAAATACTTCAAACTTAAATAATACCTACGTACAAATAAAGGTTGTATTAAAAATTAAAAATTAAATTTTTAAATTACCTTAACATTTCAGGTATTTCCCCTTAAAAATAGTTCAAAAATTAAATTTCCGAAATTTAACATCTCTAAATGCATGTAACGTTTGCACATTTGTATATTACCATAGATCGCCGCCTATGGTTGACCGCGTAACCTCGTCATCATTGGTAGTTGACGAACCTAACAACAAATTTGACAACGGGCTGAGCTCAGCAGCGTCGACGCTCGCGTCCATCATCAGCCGACAAGCATTTGACATACCACGAGCAGCCAAAGACAGTGATCACTTAAGAGACAACAGGGGAGATAGCAGCAGTGATAGAAACAGTGGAGGTCGTAGAAGCAGTGGAGGTGACGACATCGGCAGTGCAGATGATCGACGGAGCGCCGGAGGTCGATTTTCACTGCCGGACATCGTAGACTCCGGTGACGACATCAGCAATGGCGTACAAGTTCGACGGGACAGCGTCGGGAGTAGCGTGTACTCGAGGCGAGACACCCCAGCCAGAAGCCGCGACCCGTTTGGAAGTCCGGTGACGCCACAGATGTACAACGGATACAGACACCATGCTGGAAACACTCGAACAGCCGCCGCCGTCGCCATGAAAACAGCCGCCACGTCTAGTTGAAATCCACCACATGAACCGTATGGACTTCAATGGGTTAAATTCCGTCATTATATTGTAAACATATTTTACCTTACGAAAATTTATCGCAAATTATTGATCGTCATAAAAATTTATCGGAACAATATTTATCACGACTTATAAACCGTACAGTAACTGTTTTATTATTAATTGCAGATAAAAATGTGTAATAAATTAAAAAATAATAATAATAATACAAAATCAAGTTTAAATTGCATAAAAAATTTAAAAAAATTAAGCCTACCAATTTAATTTCCAACTTAGATATCAACATACTAATATCTTATCTACCTATATTACTTATCTATATTTTACGCATACAATACTTAAAGCTTAAATATGTAATACAGAAAATTCTCTTTAGTGCCAATGTGTCTGTACTGGTAACTTCTATAATGTTATTAATGTCTCAAAAATAGGCTTATATGTAGGACATGTAGGTATTGCGATAATAGTTATTAATCTAATTCTATACTAATGACGAAAAATAGCGAATAACTCGGATAAGATAATACTGTGATTTGCAATTATTTACGATCAATAATTTTACAATAAATAATTAGTCTATACGATCAACCAATGTCCTATAAAATAACTGCGTTTAATTGTCGTATGGTGAATTATTTACATTCAATTGAAATGTATCTATATAGCTCAATGCTATAACCGAGAAAAATGTTTAAAATCTACTACTAGACATAAGGCAATTGTTTAGAAACTACTAAGAAGCCTACTATAAAATGTAAAGTGTATAAAGTGTTCTTGACATTTATAAATATTTATCAAATATCATTTCATGTGCAGGTATCACAGTGTAAAAATACATATTTGAGTAATAACGAGTTAAAAATTAACATTAAGTTAATACGTTAACTTGAAAATTCGTTAATTATTTTTAGAATTAACTAAATAAGTTACTTTTTTACCGTACATGAGGTGATATTAATTTAAAATAAATTTTATACAGATGTATTAAAATGTTGATAAAATTAAACTATTATATATTTATTTAAGGAATATTACATATCTCAAAATCATCTAGGACTCGTTCAATCCAAAAACGTATACAATATACATTATCATTTTATTTAATAGTTACCAATTTGCATTTATCAAAAATGTATGTCTTATAACATAGTTAGATAGGTAGAACTTATTAAGAATAAAATAGTTTATAAAATATTATTTATCAGTGGATATAATAATACAAAGTTTCCTAAATATTAAAATACAAATACAAAAATACGACTTAAGATTCCCTTCTTTGATGAATGAAGGGAACTTTGTCGGAGAATCAACTGCTCTCCCAACATTTATCATTAACATATATTTATTAAGATTTGAGTTTGGAAAAATATCAAATTCATGGGTAGGATATTATAGCATCATTTAAAAAAGCTATTTTTGTTACCAATAATTATAAAACGTAAAATTTTATTTTTTAACAAAATTGAGTCAATTTTTTTATTAATTTTTAACTGAACGAAGTTGAAAATAGACTTTAGGAAACTTGAAACATAAAAAAAGTTTTCTATTAACTTAACTTAATTAATTATTACATATATGTAAATTGTGAACATGTCAAATATTAAAAATCATATGCATACCTATTTTGAATATCACTATTAAATATTATTTTCTGTCCAAATTCTACTAGTATATTAGCTTAGTTACGATTCAAAAATACTATAATTATTTTTCAGAATTTAAGGTGATCCATCATTTGTTAAAATGTATGATAATATATAATACTGTTTGCGCCATGAGACTAACTATAATTTGTAACACGTTTTTTGGTTATAAAAACTTTTTTGCATTCACAGACTGTTTTACCTTGTTTAGAAAATTTACATAATTACGTTCTGTCCTTACAATAATATTAATAAAACCTGAATAATTAAAAATAATGTTTAAAATAGAAAACAAACAAATTATTTATCAAAGATACTTCCTTTTTATCATTTACCATTACATTAACGATTAACTGATCATTATCATAGAATACATAAAATATCCAATCGATTAAGTAGATTTCCCAAAAATCGCCTAATATTATTATTATACTCCTATTGGATGCTTGAATTTTCTATTTTATTCTTATATAACATAATAGTCTATTTTTAACTGACTATTTACAGTATGAAATCGTCCCTTATTACAATGCGAATTATACTATAATGTCTATAATAGTAATATAGCTATCAAACACCTGTTATAATACCTAGTAATAACGTTAAATAACGTTTTATCTAAAAAATTTCCATTAAAATCAAAAGTGTAAAAATTCTTAATTTTGAACTAGAAACTAATTCACCCAAACGTACACGAGAGCTGTACACCATCCCTCTAGGACCCAACATAACCTTACTTAAATACCTATTTAATATTAAGTTTATTTAGTTTTATATATTTGATATTTTTAATGCATTGCGTTTTCTATTGACTCCTATTAATTATTATACTATTTATTATAGACACTCATGTTTAAGATAACTTATCTTCCTCTCTATATTAATGATTAATATACTATACTACTATACCTACCTACATACGTATCTCTTCATATAATATACAATATTTTTTTTTTAGTATATAACATAAATTGTTCTCCTGTAAACAAAACTTTTTTGTACATTTATTGTCTTATTATATTATTATATATTATTTTTAATTGATGACTGCAGTATATATTATTTCTTCAACCTCAACTTGAGTAGTGGAATCAGATGTATGGATAATTTTAATAATTCTCTTACAGTAGTTGCCACTTATTGAATCCTGTACTTCACAAGAACGCGAGTCCATTACCTGAAGGAGTCAATTAGGTAAAAGGTACAAAAACAAAAATACATACATACTCGTATTATGCGTTATAATAAACAAATTTAATTTGATGATCTACTAATAATATATAAATACTCGTATATATATTTATTTATATATTTTAAAAAATATGTCGTTATTCATAAAAAAAAATTTGATAACGATAAAAATAGAAAATTTTTCAAAAATGTGAAAGTATACCCTTAACAACATACGTTGACCTACTCAACCAGTGTAGTTTGTCCAATACACAAATGTATACGTGTAAATCGTGAACCGCTTATTTGAATCCAACAGCCTAAAGAAACTTTTAACCTTTAGTACAATTAGCGGCGACTACTATGTTAAAATAACATAATTAAATTAAATTATCATAATATCTATAAATTATGAAATATCGGTAAGATTTATTCACGACAACAATGTTGTGCCTACTCAAATTTCTCATCCATATCGCCGTATACCTACTTAAATTATATTAGGTATTGAAATACATAACTAAAATATCTTAATAGAACTACAGAAAAATAATAGTGAAAAGAACCGCAATTAAAAATTGTAAAAGTTATGCATTAAATTGAGACACTGAGTCGTATGTAGTAAGCTTGAAGATTTATATAAGTATAGAGAACATTTACTTATTTAGTTACGTTTACATCAAAACTGAAATAAAACGAGGAAACAACTATAAAACAATGAATAGTATAATAAAACTAAATTTTAGGTTAAAATAGAACCCATACTTACTCTAAAGTTATCATACTATCTGATATTATTATGAAACAATGTTGTATATCGTATAATATAACTTCCAGTTTACAAGAATTTTAAAGTTGAATACTATCATTATTTGTCGCTATTAAACCTTACTGTACTTTCTTCAATTCATCTGATATTATAATAGATCCTTAAATTGCATTGAAAAAAATTTGAACCAACTACTGAACTATCAGTATACAATAGTTCAAGAACTATTAAATAACATTATCTGTATGGACGCAACGCCATGTCCTAGTTTATAACAGTATAGGTATTAAAACAGTTTTAACATGTTAAACTCATTTTAACTTTTAAACTAAATAAATAATTTAATACATTACTAATATTATTGTCATTTTCAATCTTTATCTTTGTATGTATAAAAACCACAGTTAAAAAAAAATATACTCGATTTATATATTTTATTATAATAAATATATTATATGTTCCAAGATGTTGGAAAAACATGCACTGTGCACTTAAAAACTAAGCACATAAATATACACGTCATTTACAAGTATATTTTGTACAAATCTTGGGATAATAAAACCTTAAAAAAATTATTTTAAAGGGCAAACGTTTGTAAAGCAGGATCATTTATACTCTCCCAAAGCGCATACACATACATAGATTAAAAAAACTAAACCTTTTGAACTCTGATTTAAATTGATTTATGCATTAGTTGAACTTGTAAATAATACCAACGTCCTACATATTATATTATACATATTAACAAATCAATTGTGGGTAAACAATAAAAAAATTATATTCAAGGTTGGTAGGTGATATAATCTCTTACATTTATGCAGTGACGTATTTAGGATTTATTTGAGGGGAGAGATATGACTGAAATAGTTTTTCTCTCTCTTCTCAAAATGCATGAAGATACTATCTATTTATTATAACTACACACCTAATATATATTATATCTGTACATAGTAGGTACATAAACCTTATAATTATAACATATAACATATTAAATAATAAATCATTTATTTATTTATCATTTACAAAACTAAAAAAAAAGTCAAGGGGAAGATATATCTTCCTCATCTCCCCCCATAAATACGCTACTACATTTATGTATTGATTTAATTTTATTAATTCCAGTTTTTAAATTTAAATTATTTATTAATTATTAAATAATTAAAATATTTTAAATATGTATATATTTAATAATTAATTACATTTAATCCACTTACATATTTTAGAAGCTAATTTATTTTCAATTCCTTCATTGGCCAAGCATTTTCATTTTCTATACCGTTCTAAAACTTGTAGAATTAGATTAGGATGACCATACGTCCCATTTAAAATGGAATTTTCTCTTATTTAATCAATATGTCCCGCTGTTCCGACAAACTTCAAACAGGAAACTTTTTTCCTCGTTTTTAGAAGATAATTTCATTTTAATCCTATTATCCCTATATTATTATATTATATTGTAAAAAGTTAAAATATTTTTATCAATAACTTTTTGGAAGTTTGTAGAATATTCTCTACCAATACCAGGAACTAATGTAATAATAGAGAGAATATTTTCT